AATATGCTTTCAGTTCAGATATTAGCTGGAGGGAAGGCCTGAAAGATTGTAGATGTCTGATTTATGGCAAGCTTTTTCAGGGTTTTGTAAGTAACAGAGAATATTCAGAGCACCCTTCCCTTCTTCTGGGGGTGTCCTGGGACTGTGCAGCTGGCCCAAGACTTCGCAGGCTGGCTCTTCTCTCGAGAGGCACAGAGTGGAGTCAAACTCCCAACCTCTGGCTATCTAAGGCCAAGATTTTGGCTGTAGTCGAGCAAGAGATGAGCACCAGCGCTGGGTGTCAGCGGTGGTGTATAGTGGGCAGGGCAGCCCTCACTAACTCCCTCCTTAACCTTGATGAGATCCTTCCAAACAGTGGAGGGACAAGGATGCAAGGTGGGTGGTTATGACCCTCGGCCCCCACCCACCTTTTACCTGCAAACAGGGATAAGGGAATAATGGCTCATTCTAAACCACTTAATCCCCTTCCAGACATTATAACAACAAGTGGAGGACACTGAGAAAGATTGTAGATGCCTCTCCTGCAATAAGTTCACAAGGAAATGCAAGGAAAGTAGACCTGCTGGGTTAAAGAGGTAAGCACTACACAACTCTAGGTGTGCTTTTCTGCGCTCATTCAAGGCCACTGCCTCCTTTGGGGCTCCCCCATGAATGGCAAGAATGACATTCTTCGGGTAGGTTTCTAGAGCTTATTATGAATGCATGGAATATAGTTCGGAAGAATAAATTTCTTCAGCTCACAGAATCTCCCAGCCATAAGCTGTTTGGGGGATTCTGGAAGTTGTAGTCCGGAAAGCAACTTCTCTAAGCAGGGCGGTCCGGCACACTCTGTCTCCTTAGAAGGCGCTCTAGGAGTTTGTGGTAGAAGGGAGATTCAAACCAGTATGTCTATCCTATGCAGTTATAGCAGTTTGATAGAGTTTTAATCATTTTTGCATCTTGGAGAATCCTGGGACGTGTGGTTTGGTGAGAAACATAGGATTTCCTTCTGAAATTCAAGGCAATGCGCAAGAGGTGTCTAGCAGAGAATGCCACTTAATCTTACTAAACTGTCAAATCCAAGGATCACATATGATGGAGCCACTGTAGTTAAAGCGGTTTCAAGCTGTTCTAGTGTCAGGTAAGTAAATTCTTAAGACGTTTTGAGCCAGAATGCAACTTCTTAGCTCTTCTGAAATATTCCAGGGATCTACCTCTATCGCCGCCGCCCCCAATCGCATGTGCTGCTGGTACATGGCTATAAGATGCTGCCAGATTTCTTCTCCAGCATCATAAAAAAGCTTCTGTAATTCTGACTTCAGAGAAATGCCAGGCTAGGAATTGGAACATCCAATTTGTTTTCATTGCCGTAGCTCCGTCAGAGCTTCCTAATGCCCACTTAGCTGAGATGACTTGACAACATTACATATGTGCATGGAATATTCTTCTCCCAATAAAACCTGAGGACAATTCAGAAGGACCTGGTCTCATTTTGTCTCTGTTGTCTTCTTTCTCTAATTCAGTCCCAAGGTTCACAGTGAGTGGTGGCTGTTGTTTTTAATGGACCTTCCCGGGGCCATTTAACACTGGACACGAAAATACTTTATCCCATAAATATTGCTAGGCAGTTATCTCACACTGGCGTGTTTACCCAGTCTGTTAATCTGAGATAAACCACCCATTTAACTTGTTTCAACCTCCAATGTATTTACACACAATCAACAGCCTAATCGGCAAAGGGAAGAGAGCAGACAAGACTGAGCATGCATGCTCTATCAGCAAGATAAAATTCTCCCAATTGGGGAACAGATTTTAGCCCCATTGAAGCTTTGGCTTAAAAATTAGAAAAATCCAGTGCAATCAGACCAAACTCTGTTCTTATTCAGGATTGACTAGCTCAGATACTCCCCTTTCCATGTATGCACAAGAGCCCAACTGACTACCAGGTTCATCTTAGCAGTAAGTCTTAACCAGGATGCATTCTGTTTAAGACATGAGAGTGGCACATTAAAGTAGGGAGGAGTAAAACAGGGCAAACCTCAGGGTACACACAGAACTGTGCCCACCATTAAAATTTAAATTTTAAAAATTAACTGGAAAGCATTACTTGTTGCAGAAATTACAGTGTTATTCCCACATGATACATTTTTTGAAATATCTGCTCGTAGAGTCAGCAGCGGTCCATAGCTACCTGCAGCAAAAAAGAACAGAGCAATGCTGCAAGCCACCATAAGCACAGAGGGATAGAAATGTCATAAATAAACAGTAATTATAATCCCAAAGGTAGCCCTTCTATTACAAGGAACAGGATAAGGTTACCGTATATCATAAGGTTTAAAATATGATGCAAGCGTTGACAGTATATATCATTTCCTTTCATTATTGCTGTCCAGGACCTGAATACAGGAAGCAGAGACATAAATAATTAGGGGCCCTGGCCTTACCTTTGTTTCTTCAGTACAAATAAATCAACCTCCCTAGAAACAGAGTGCTAATTATTCAAAACACTTAACAGGGCTGGTTAGACGTTTGCAAACATTCAGACGCCTAACTGATGAGAATCAAAGCAAAACAGATGAAAATGTTGTGGCGCCCTAAAGACTACTATATTTTAAGGTGAGCTTTTGAGGACCAAGTCCACTTCCTCAGATATATGAGTGAGACCATATGGCAGTTGTTTAAACATTTTTTTGGGGGGTCCCAAATGCATGGAAAGAATGGTATTCCTGGGGTATGCGTATATAAATAATATACCATATTTTTCGCTCCATAAGATGCACCTCTCTATAAGACGCACCAATTTTTTAGGACAAGAAAACAGGAAAATATAATGTTTTCTTCGCTCTATAAGACGCACAGACTTTCCACCCCCCCCGTTTTGTGGGGAAAAGGTGCGTCTTATGGTGCGAAAAATATGGTAAATAAAATTAAATATAAGAATGGCCCCATGACCCAGTGGGGATACAGAAGGACAGGTTGACAAGGGTTGGTTAATATAGGAGACCCCAGTTGGAAATTGTGTGAGTCAGTGTGGCATCTCACATTTGGCCATGACTTATTAGGATGTTAGGTCTCTGGCTTTGAAGCCAGAGGTTGAGAGTTCGATTTCTCACTGGGCCTCCTACAAGGAGCGCCAGCCTGCATAGCCTTGGGCAAGCTGCACATAGTCCCTACAAAGGATTGCCATAAATTGGAATTGACTTGAGGGCATACGACGGTTATTAATGATTTAAGACACCTGATTGATATTCAGTCCTTTTAAGTGGGTTTCTTTCTGTTTGAAGCTTTCTTCTGTGCAAAGTGGTGATCATGGTTTGTTGGTGAGCAGAAACCTAAGATTCATTATCCATAGAATTTAGGAATTATTCATGTAAGCGTTATTTTATCTTGTACTTACAAATAACCTTTGAAGTGGCATAGCTAAATAAAGTATTCCCTTGGATCAACGGCAGGCAGGCTGTCTGTCTCTGGGAACAAAATAAAAGATCCAGAGGCATCAGCAGGAAATCTTTGCTTTGCTGGATAAGAAGACTTCCCAGTGCAGATACCCTGAGGCAATTAA